CGGGCGGGGCGGGAGCCGGGGAGCCGGTGAGGGATGGAGGGAGGGGCGGGGCGGGGAGGGGGAAAGGAGGAGAAGTGGCCGCGGCTGCGCATCCCCGCCCTGCCCCGCACGAGCAGGTGTCCCCAGAGGCGGGGGCGCGTGTGCCAGCCCGGGGGACGGTAGAGGGAGGGGAGTGGCCAAGGAAGGGGAGTGTGCACACGGGTAGGAGAATAGGTGTGTGAATGGGAGTGTGGAGGGGTGAGCTCGTGGGGATGGAAGGTGAGTGGTCAAAGACGCAGGTGCACTAGGGAGGGAGAGGCTGTGCAAAATGGGAATGTGAAAGACAGAGCTATGCAACGGTCCGAGGTGATGGAGGTGAGTGAGCAAGAGATGGACTCAAGCAATAAGCATTTTTACACAAAAGATTGAAAAGTGTGCATGGTGTGGGACTGTGGAAAATAGATGAGTATGTAAGGGATGGAACTGGATTGTATGAGAAACAAAAGTGTGTAATGGTCATATGTGAGTAAAGTGAGTGCGCAAGAGAGACTGGAGTGCTAAAGGGATGAGGATCTTTCCTGGTACTCTCACTGCACTGAAGTGAACAACACACACACACACGCTTAGCTCTTTGCTTTTACGGGGGGGGGGTTGTCTTGACCCTGAGAACCACCTGTACCTCCTCATCACATTATTTCTACCTTACACTTAACATCCTCCCTCACCTTCCCTTTCCAGTGCTGAGGGAAAAAGAATTCCAAGGGAGCCCATTGGGTCAAATACACTGGGAAAAAAATAATTAGTAAAAGAGTAATTAACAGGAGAAGGGAGGATATGGAATCAGGGACAGACTGCCAAACTAAGGCTCCTTACTAGAAAGTAATTAGGGAGAGTAATGCTCTTATGAAGCATTCGTAAGATATGAAATATCCAAAATATTTTGGATGGGTGAATGAATGAATCAGAAAAAGGGGCTGGAACCCAAGCCAACATAGAGAATGACTTCTATTTTAAATAGATACTGAGTTGTAGTGGGCTTATGTGAATGGTAAGGCTACAGTGGACCCTGCTGGTTTAAGAAGGAAGTTTGACACACTCAGAAACACTTAGCCTTCCAGAAGGTTTACAAATCAAACAATCCTAGCAAGACAGACAATAAAACATTCTCCTCACAAGCCTCTTAGCCAGACCTTAAGATCTTTGTTGCTAGTGTCCCAGCTGCCCTTGCCAGCAAGGGCCCAGGGCTACAACTATCAATCAGAATGCAAAGAGGGGGAATCTGTACTGACATGTCTTCCATTTTGCTCTGGAGCATGGTTCATACCCATTTGAAGCCTGAACTCTTATATTCTCTGCCAGATCGTTAAGGAGAATAGAAGTTAGGGTGCAAGGAGAGCAAATAGAGTAATAGCACGATTTCAGATTTTAGATAATTTCTCACAAATGAGACACTGATCCTTTACTCCCATCCCCCAAAGTGTTGGAAGATAAAGTTGGAGCCAGTAAGACAAAGGGAGCCAGCGAAACCTGTCTGTTGTCTACTTAGGTGTCTGTGAACAGAAACTATTTGGCAAAAGTCTGTATTTCAAGCAAGAGCAAGTGCTAAGAAAGCTTGCACTGGGGGGAAAGAGGGAAGCACAATGACCCCATATAAGGAGTTGAAAGTTTTGTGGAAGGGCACAAGTCATTCTCATGCAATGTGGTGGTAACCTCCTTGCATATGCTCACTCCTATATCTGTTTATCTATGTGATGTATATAGTATCATACCCACATATACATATACGCACACATGTGTATCATAGTATCTTAGTGCTGAAAAGAATCTTAAAGGTCAAGTATTCCTGTTTCTGGCTCGTCAATAACTTCTCTGCCAGAAGGCATCTGGTCTCTGCTTTAAGGCTCCCAAGAAGTGGAAGCTGGGAGGAGGGGAGGGCATTACCTTGCCACTCTTTCCGTTGGATTACTATATTAATCTGTCTTCCATCAGTCCTTGAATCCTACTTTTGCCCTCAGATGCCTACTGTCTACTCTCTATTTTACAAGACCACACAGTTAGCTGTATCTTTACAGATAGCCTTATCACTGCTTTAAAGGGCTAGTGCCTGAGACACCGAAAAACCTCACAAAACCCCCACATGCGCACAGGAAGCAAGCACTCAGTAAAAATGTGTTGAGTGAGTGAAAGAAACAAAGACACAAATGAGACTGTCTTCCGATTCGGTGAAGCAGAAAGCCACCAGCACCACCTCTCGTCCCCGGACCCCATGCCCGCATACTGAGAGTGAGAGACGTGTAGCGAGACTGGAGATGCGCTCAGGCTCAGCCTGAAGCCTAGAGTTGGGATCTGGGTGGCCTTGGTTGCCATGGCACCGCAATGGTCTCCACCCTCTCTCTTCTTTCTCCCCACACCCCCGCCAAAGTTACGGCAGCCAGTCACGTGCCCTGCCGCGTAACCACACCTCTGCTCCTCAGAGCAAAGTCAAGTGGTCACGTGTGATAGCAACAGATCACGTGGCTGCCATCGCCCCTCCGCCCCTTTCCCCTCCCCGCCCCGTTCCTAGTCAAAGCCGCTCCCGTCTGCCCCTCTGCGCATGAGTAGTCTGGTCACGTGCTCCGAACGTCCGGCGTTCGCCCCGCCCCCCCGGTTTCCGCGCGCCTCTTTGGCAGCTGGTCACATGGTGAGGGTGGGGGAACAGGGGGCCGCTCTAGCCTGCGGCCTGTGTCTATGGTCGGGCCCGTAGCGTCCAGCTGCCCCGGACAGAGCGCGAGTGTATGGCGCCACAAGAACCGGCTCCGGGGCCCCGATAACGGGCCGCCCCCGCAGCTCCCGGAACGGGGCGAGGTAAGTGTAACCCCTTTCTAGGAATGGGGACCATTCTCGTCCTCCACGGTGTCTTGCGCGGGCTGGTTATGAAGGGTCGCTCGAGGGCGGGAAGTGGGGCAGGGCGTAATCTGTCCCTTTGTGGTCGTAGGGAGGTGTAATTTCAGAGACTGGGTGTAGGGTCTTCGATGCAGGGGGTGTGTCGTGTGGGATTTCCCTTGTGCGGGGCTCGATGGTCCCCAAGGAAAAGACACTTTATTCTAGGGTTTCACGTGGCTGGAGGGGTTGGGGTTAGTGTCATTGTGTTACCTGGTGGGGGCCGGCCTCATGGAAGCTTGGGGAAGGGACGAGATGCTGTTGCTGTTGTCTTTGTAATGTCTTTTGTGGGAGTTACTTTGTTGCTGCAGGCTCATACCATCTGAACTCTGAAAGGGAATTTCGATGGTAGGAGTCTCTTGTGATTGTAGGGTCTCCTCTAGTCTGAGAATGACTACCCCTCGATATGAGCCAGTGGCTGAGATTGGTGTTGGTGCCTATGGGACTGTGTACAAAGCCCGTGATCCCCACAGTGGCCACTTTGTGGCCCTCAAGAGCGTGAGAGTTCCCAATGGAGGAGGCTCTGGAGGGGGCCTGCCCATCAGCACAGTTCGTGAGGTGGCCTTATTGCGGCGCCTGGAGGCTTTTGAGCATCCCAATGTTGTAAGGTGAGAAGAAGGTGGAGGGTTGGGAGCGGGAGTTAAAAGGGAAAAGACAACCTAGACAAGTGGGCACCCTGAGAAAACGGAGGAGGCCTTGTTGGGTCAAAGATAATAGATCAATGAGTGACCATTTGTTCTGGCCAGGCTGATGGACGTCTGTGCCACAGCCCGAACTGACCGGGAGACCAAAGTGACCCTGGTATTTGAGCATGTGGACCAAGACCTAAGGACATATCTGGACAAGGCACCCCCACCAGGCTTGCCAGTGGAGACCATCAAGGTGAGTAGGGTGGGCAGACACTGAGAGGTGGACTGGGACCTTTGTAGTAGCATCTGATGTGATTTTAGGGATGGTGCCTAGTTTCCTGTTTCTCTGTACCCCCCCTTCCAAACCAGGATCTGAT